CACTTCTTCGTATGCATCCAAAGAAGTGGGCTGTAGTCCACGAAAGCTTATGCTCTAATAAATTTGTTAGTCTCTAAGGTGCCACAAGTACTCCTGTTCTTTATATAAACATCTTCATCGCTAAAGTGAGACCCCTCTGAAAATGCCCTTACAATTAGTTCAAAATATGACTTGGCTGGTCTGCCTATTTTGCTGACTTTAAATGGTCCTGATGATGCTTCTAGTTGAGAGTTCTTTTAAATAGCTACTCAGTGGTTCTCAAACACTGGGTCAGGACCCAAAAGTGGGTCACCACCTGGTTTTAATGGGGTCGCCAGGGCTGGCATTAGACTTGCTGGGACTGAAGCCCAGCCCCACCACTGTGGGCTAAAGCCCATGGCGAGGTTCAGGTTACAGGTTCCCCCACCTGGAACTGATGATCAGGCTTTGGCTTTCGGCTCAGGCAGGCTCAGGCTTTGGTCCTGTTCTCCCGCTCCCCTTGGGTCATGTAGTAATTTTTGTTGTCAGAAGGAGGTTGCGGTGCAATGATGTTTGAGAACCCCTGAGCTAGGTAAATCTGCCACTTTAAAATCTTACTTAGGGTACCAAATAGATCAAATAATGTTTGTAATCTTTCAATTTTTTTTAAAGTTTGACGATGAAGTTTATTTTCCTATATTATTCTTAACTTGGAAAATATGAAACATTTTATTGGGATGTAATAGAAACAAACGAGTGCCTTTTGTTTACTTCTCTGTGGGCTATAGTGAGAGAAATGATTGGATTGCGGATCACGTGATTTTGTGTCAACAGCTTATATTGGCATCACAATGATATTTACTCAAGGAAGGAATTCATTGGTTGCAGTAGTAAAATATAATGAAAATACTAGCAGTTTTATGAAAAAAGAGAAAACCTGATAATTTTTACAGGTTAGAATCTTAATATATTTTGCTATGGCAGACATCACCAGAAGGCAACATTACTGTTGGACCTGTTCTGTGCATGACAGACTCAGAATTTAAACTCTCTTCTTGCTCACCCTGTCCATTAAATATTAGAGGGGTGGGATTTTTGATGGGGTTTTATCTCCGTTCTTTTAAAAAAAATTGTACTTTAAAAATATTTTATGCCTTTTTTTTTCTTTTCTGTTCAAGGTATGGTGTAAATAACACTAAGCATTACTTTACCCGTGGTCATTTTGCATGCAGCTCCCATACAATCCATCTTCTCTGTAAGTACAATGTTGAAAAATATTATAAATTTCATGCATGAAAGTGATGTTGAATACCTAAAACATTATAATAAAACATATCCTAAACCTAAGCCTACATTTTTAAAAATGTCTCAAAAATATAAACCATTATCCAAAACACAAACCAGAAAAACCAGTTTGGTATACATAAGTAAAAAATATTATCACAAAACAGCCAAATAGTGTGAGTTCTGGGATTCTTAATAAGTAGTCACAGACAAACTTTCTTTACTCCAAGATTCTCATTGGCAAAAACAATTTCCGTAGGCAAACAAAAACCACCCAATAAACAAGCAAACCTACACTACCACAGGCCTACCAGATGTCATGTTTCAGCCTACTTTTTATTGCCTCTCAAAAAATCTTAGGCTTAAGTGTTGTCATTGTCTGAATTTGAGAATATGTCATTAATATTAATATAAAAGGCATATACATTTGCTTTTTAATATGGTTCATTTTCACCTCCTAGTTATTTATCTTCTCGTTGCCTTGAGCTGTGTTACATTCCAAGCCATCCTTCTGCTGCAGGATGCAAGTAACTCATTGTATTTAGAGTTATTCAGATCCTGAGAGAGAACATTTGGGCCCTGGTATGGTAGCACTTGAATGAGTTTCACACTTGATATACAATGTTGACTGCATTGTCCACTTGGAGTTGAGATCACTTGTGACTAAATTTAATTTCCTTCCTTTTCTGCTGGTGTTCAGTGGCCAGTCCAGTTGCTCACTCAAGTCAGTAACTCATACAGGTCATGCATACACACAGACACTAGCATGATGGGCTACCCTATTTTGGAACTCCAAAAATATTCTTAAATGCCAGGACCTGATCCTGCAAACACACGCTTAAAGTTAAGCATGTGTGAATAATCCCATTGACTTCAAGTTAAAGTTAAACAAGTGCATAAGTATTTACAGGACAGAGGCATTAGGTGTAATGTGCACATAAGAACTTTTAGCACAACTTAATATGCTTTACATTCAAATCTTTGGTTACTGTTGTTTTAAAATAATTAACTGTTTTTTCCCTTCCCTTCAGTTCTTTAATTTGACATACAAACGAGCAACAGTCATGTTAATGTGCACTTGCTCATTTATATGTAAAACTAGCAATTTATACATTTGTTATTCTAATATCCAATCTAATACCTAAAACATAAGGGCTAAACTGTGCCCTCCAATATACATGTATATCTCCCATGGACTTCAGAAGGGGTTATGCTCACTTATCCGAGGGTAAAACTTGGCTATAAATGAAGATTTTAACCTTAACACTACACCACAAACCTATTGTATTTTGTTGTCATTTTCCAAAAATTATAACTTACTACTCTTATGTAGTCTGTAATGACTAAAATTGAATGTTATTATTAAATTAAACTTTAGTCCGCTTTATCATTTGAAAGCTTGCAATGTCGTCGTCATCATCCTCTTCATCCTCACCGTCACCACCACCAAGGCGACCTGGTAGACCCACCATATATTCCCCATTAGAGAAAAAGAGGAGGAGAAAGAGTCTAGAGAGAAAAAGGGCTCAATCAAGGATATGTATAAGAGAACAGATAGGAAGATGGATGTCACTTAGGGAAACACTTAATGTCTTCTCACATGCTGAAGTTGCCAAGTTTTTGCTGGACTTGTAAGTAATTCAAATGTCCTATATATTAAATATCATTATCTAAAGAGAAATATGAATTTTATTCTGATTGGTTTCTTTTTGATACTTTCATCTTATTTTGTATTATAGATATGACAATTATGAAAACCGAGATGCGTGCAAGGAATCAAAAGTGAAAATACAGGAAGCGGATGGAAACTCAACATTAAATGCAGAAGAGGATGTGCCAGAGACCTCTTTAACAGCAGGCACTGAAAGGTGACTTAAAATATTTTTTTAATTTTTTTCTGTTTTTTTCCATTAAATTGTGTAAAAATAAAAAACAGTTGTCAGTGAAATAACTCCCATTCATGTGATCATTCTTCTAGGCCACGGGTTCCCAAACTTGGTTTGGGGCTTGTTCAGGGTAAGCCCCTGGTGGGCCGCGAGACCCTTTGTTTACCTGAGCGTCCGCAGGTACGGCCGCTCACAGCTCCCAGTGGCTGCGGTTCGCTGTTTCTGGCCAATGGGAGCTGCAGGAAGCAATGTCCTGGCTTGCACTGCTTCCCGTAGCTCCCATTGGCCGGGACTGGTGAACATCAGCCACTGGGAACTGCGAGCAGCTGTACCTGTGGATGCTCAGGTAAACAAAGTGTCTCACAGCCCACCAGGGGCTTACCCTGAACAAGCCCTGAACCAAGTTTGGGAACCCCTGCTCTAGGCCATAGTGCCACCCCTCTTATGGGGCTGCTCTATTGTGGGCCAAAGCTAGGTTGATGTATGTGTGAGTGGTTGTAATTAGGATCTTAGTCCTGCAAGACACTGAGCAAACTAAGTTGTACGATGAGTCCTGTCAATTTCCTTGTAAGTTGAGGGAGCTCAGCAGCTTGCAAGTCTGAGTCCCTAATTTGTACTAATGCAGCCTGTGGATAAAGATTTATACAGCACTGTGAAGATACAAATAATTCCATAAGTACTGAACATTAGAGTCCTTTTTCTTCTCTCCCACATCTCTAATCTCTCCGTAACTCTCCCTTCTCCATCATCTCCCTAGCAAAATGTCACAGAAGGCCACCAGGCCTGCCTGGAAATCCATCCTTGATCTTAGATAATTAGTCCATTCTGCTGTGTCTTCCCAGAAAGTAGAGATTGCTCCATCCTTTGCAGTCAGGCCTCAACTCAGTAGGACATTTTGCATGAGAAGGACTTTGCCTTCTATGACTCATGTAATTCTGGATAATGTGATATTAGTCCTGCCTTAACACCGGGGGATGGGCAAGATGACCTCTTATGGTGCCTTCCAGACCTACATTTCTATGATTATATTAGGAATTTTACATAATATTTTACAAATTTAAGTTAACTGTATGGAAGTCCATAAATATTCTATATGCTAATTTTAATTTTCAAATAAGACAATGAAATTTAAAGGAGAGGTTATAAGTACACTGGGCAATAGCACATTTACATTCAGCGCAAAAGAGATCAGAATAAATAGTTATGTTGTCCAATTAATGGATTATAATTTACTCACTTTTCAGTGATTGACCCTCCTATCCTTAAAAGTATTTATGAACGGGACCTCTTTTGTGCATTAACTTACTGTGTACAGTTCTTTTGTCCAAAACTTTAAAATCATGTGTGAATTCACTATGGAAATGTCTATACTAAAAGTTCAGTGTTGTACAATTTGCATTGCAGAGGTCCAGTGTTTCCCATCTGAAGGCATGGTGGGTTTTTTGGATGGTTTGCTTTATATATAATGAGATGATGTAAGTAGCTGAGAAACTTGCATCTTGATTATATGGTATATCCATGGTTTGCTACAGGGTGAAGAACCTCAGGAACATAGAATTTTATTTCCAAAGATACACTACATTAAATGTTGCTTCTTTTGGCTACATTTATTTAACAGATTGCTATGTGAAGATTTAGAGGATGAATCTACAGACAGTTCAGGGGAAGAGTGTACTATTGATAATGAATATGACCTTTCTAAAAGGTAAGTAGTATTTTAAGATACTATATTGTTGCTATATTTGGTATAACAGTGTATTAAAACTGGAAGTACTAAATAAATCAGTCATATATACTATTTACCATCCATCTAAGTTGTTTGCTTAATTGTAAATGTTACACTGCTTGTTAGTGACTTAGACTGGTCTGACTCATAATAATTTTCGCTTTCTAATTCTCATGCACTGAAGCTCTGCAGGGTAGTGTTTTAATCTGTTCCTATTTAAATAAAAAAAACTAATTCATATAAGGCTTTCTAAAATCTTTTTTTCCCTTCTATATTTACCTTTTTTAAAAAACAGCAACACCTGAACCCAAATTTTTTCAGGGTCTAAATTACTCAGTGTGTCTTAATTCATGTGTTATATTTATAATGCATTCTAATTGTCTCTATTTGTTTAGTTTTTCTTCAGTTAAACACTTGAAAAATGTGTCTATAGCAGAGGATATATTGGGTATAACAGATGAATGTGATGATGGGTCACAAGGTGACTTTATAGAAACCTTTGAGGAGACAACTCGTGATATGACTTTGGATGACACCCAGGATATTTCTCATGAAAAAATTCACATTGTTTACGAACGATGCCTTCTTCAACTAGCCAAAAAAATTGTTATACCAAAATGTATGTTTTGTGCTGGTGAAGTTGATATTTCTGTACAGCCTGTTTCCTCCTGTGTGCATTTGATATGGGTGAGTAATATACCTTGTAAATGTGTCTCTCTCTCTCTCTCTCTCTCTCGCTAACTAATTCTCAATATGTTAATAGTAGTTTAATTTTCTATGGTCCTGATCCTGCAATCAGATCAACATGTGCAGAGCCCTGTGGAGTTTCACTGACTTAAATGAAACCCCATGCCTCCTGCACAGTATCCCTTTGAAATTAATTACTTCCACAAAGGTCAGCTCACGTGGGTCTAATTGCAGGAGTGAGACCTCGGTGTTTATTTTTAATATCCTCGGGCCTGTTTCTGCATATCCTAATTTAGTCAATAGTTCTCACTTGCTCAAGTAATCATGTTGAGCCCAATGGAATTACTCAGATGAGTAAGGACTACTTACGTGAGTAAAGATGTGCAGGATAAGTCTCTAGGTTTTCTGATGTGAGCTTTTCTATGTCTTTTATTTTATCACATATCATATCCTGTCATTGAGTGGACATACTTAAATAGGGTCCAAAATGTATATATTGTAAAGTCAAGCTTTCAAAAAACTGAAGACCAATAAAAAATATTTCCAGAAGAAAAAAAATGAAATAAGCAAATATTGTTCCTGCAGTCTCTTTGAAACCCTGGTGTTGCAACACTAAGAACTGGAAAGTGAAGGTGACTGTTTACAAGAAGCTAAATGAATTCATTGATTTTTTTTTTCCATTGTTCCAGTTGAGAGACATGTAAACAGTAAATAAAAAGCATAAATAGTAATGAGTTCAACGGATTTCTAAAATTCTTTCATTTTTAAGGAGTTGATAGTAATATATGTAAGCTACTTGGTTATCAGTGTGTTGTTGTTTTTTTAATTAAAATTGCTCCTTAAAACTATCCATAAAATTCTAGATCTAATTTTTAGTTTTATGGCTTGTTAAAATGCAAACAATAAGTACACGGCCTCACTTATTTCTTTTTGTTTTATTCTTTTGCTTAATATTCAACACGTCTAGAAATGTAGTGCAGGACATATAGCATTTGAATGGTCTTCTCAACCCTTGGTAAAAGGACAGACGCATGCAGGAGACCTTGCTTTATCTGCTGCAATCATACTGTCAGGAAACAATTTTGGAAAAATTTCACAAATGGCAAACTTTATGAAGTTGACATTCGTAAGTGCAAGTACATTCTTCAGAATGCAACGTCACTTTATTGTTCCAACTATAGAATCCTTCTGGTGTCGTATGAAGCAACACATTTTGGAGGAATTACATGGGAAGGAAGTAGTCATTATGGGTAAATAAAGCATTACAAAACTTAATTGTTTTTTGGATACCTCATCCAAATTTGTTCCTTGATTTTTTTAAAAAATATTCTTACTACATTTATTAAAATAGGTAACCTCGATTTTATTTCTCTCAGAATAAAACTTTTCTATTTAATTCTTAATGTGCAGGAGATGGACGCATGGATGGCCCTGGCCACTCTGCACAGTATTGTGTATACTCATTCATGGATTTAGAAACTAAACAAATTTTAGCTATTGAAATAGTGGATAAACGCAAAACGCAACTGAACTCCCCATTTATGGAGAAGGAAGCCTTTCGAAGAGGATTACAAAAGTTGTTGGATGAACAGCTAATGGTCAAAGAAGTGGTTACTGATTCACACACTCAAATCTCTGCTTTGATAAGTAATTATCACTCTTAACTTTTTACTAAGGCTCTACAAAACTCTGTAAGTTCAAGGCATACTGTTAGATAGTTTAGGCCCAACATTTGACTTCCCTGAAAAATCATCTTTGAAAATATCCATTGGATTTTCAGTTTGTATTTTTAAAAAGAAATCCATTATACCAATCTCTGAAGAATTAAAACTGTGGTTCCATTTTTTGTGTGACTAACGCAAAAAGAATGTTTACTAATGTTGCTGTCCACTATTGGCTTCCAGTCGTTTACTACCTGGAGGTCAAATTTCTTCCCTCAGAACTGGGAGTGCAACTCCCAGTGATGTCAGTTGGAATTGCCCATAGCTATCTGAAGAGAGAGTTTGGTTCTAGCAGCCCAGATTTTGCTTTAACAAATAAATAATTATTACTCGCACAAGTAGTCCCATTGACTTCCATAAAACTGAAAGGATTTCCAGCATTTGGACTTAACACTGTTCAGAAAGCACTGCTGAACTAATCAGTGATACTAGCGCATAAACAAGGAAATAAATAAAAAACAGCATTTTAATGTCAGTCTCTTAAATATACAAGGTAGGAAGAATCAATATTTGCCAGATAGGAAGGACATAATCAGTAAGGAAAGACACTTCACTTTCAAGTTTCTAAAAAGGTTTTGCTGGAGCTGGTTGAAAAATGAGGAGGCTTTCTTAGAAACTTTTGATTTTTGGCAGAAATTCAAAAATTAAAAATGCTGCTGCACTGTCTCATGAGAGCAGTAGTTTGGGCTCCTCAAGTTCTCATTCTCCTCTATATACCCATAGTCAGACCATTTCATCATCATCATGGTGTACTGAGGTCTTCCTACTTGGAGAGAAAAAGTGGGTGTATTGTATCATAGGAGTCTCTGGCCATGGTGCATTGTGTGGTCTGGCTGAAAGTGTGGCCCATACAAGAGAATAGGGACATGAGGCAACCAAAGTACATCTCCAAGGAGGTACTGTAGGAGCATTCCTAAATCAAGATATTTTGGTTTTCAGCCGAAAAACTGAAATTTTCTGTGAGGAAAAAAAATTAGTCAAAAATACAATTTGCTGTTGAAAAACATTTTTAACAGAAGTTTTTCAACCAGTTTTAAAACTCTGTAGTTGACCGTGTACTTTTAAGGCTTACCTCTGTATTACTTTTCTACTATATTACTTTAATTATGTAATTAGAATTTCGGCTTAGTCAGATAACACAAAGTACTGTATAATGTATTTCAAGCCATACATAAGGGTCAAAATTAGGGCTGTCGATTTAATTGCAGTTAACTCACGCGATTAACTAAAAAAAAGTTAATTGTGATTAATCGCAGTTTTAATCGCACTATTAAACAATAGAATGTTTAATAGATTATAATTAAACAATTAACATTTATTAAATATTTTGGAAGTTTTTCTACATTTTTCGAATATTTGATTTACATTTAGAACACAGAATACAAAAGGTATAGTGCTCACTTTATATAATTATTTTTATTACAAATATTTGCACTGTAAAAATGATAAAAGAAATAGTATTTTTCAATTCACTTCTTATAAGTACCATAGTGCAATCTCTATTGCGAAAGTGCAATTTACAAATGTAGATTTTTTTTGGTTACATAACTGCACTCAAAAACAAAACAATGTAAAACTTTAAAGCCTACAAGTCCACTCATTCCTACTTCTTGTTCAGCCACTCACTAAGACAAACAAGTTTGTTTACATTTACGGGAGCTAATGCTGCCCGCTTCTTATTTACAATGTCACCTGAAAATGAGAACAAGCGTTCGCATGGCACTGTTGTAGCCGGCATTGCTAGGTATTTACATGCCAGATATGCTAAACATTTGTATGCCTCTTCATGCTTCCGCCACTATACCAGAGGACATGCTTCCATGCCGATGTCGCTCGGTTTAAAAAAAAAATGCATTAATTAAATTTGTGACTGAACTCCTTGGGGGAGAATTGTGTGTGTCCTGCTCTGTTTTACCTACATTCTGCCATATATTTTGTGTTATGGCAGTCTTGGATGACGACCCCGCACATGTTGTTCAATTTAAGAACACTTTCACTGCAGATTTGACAAAATGCAAAGAAGGTACCAATGTGAGATTTCTCAAGATAGCTACAGCACTTGATCCAAGGTATAAGAATCTGAAGTGCCTTCCAAAATCTGAGAGGGGTGAGGTGTGGAGCATGTTTTCTGAAATCTTAAAAGAGCAACACCAGTGCAGAAATTGCAGAACCCGAACCACCAAAAAAGAAAATCAACCTTTTGTTGGTGGCATCTGACTCAGATGATGAAAATGAACATGTGTCAGTCCGCACTGCTTTGGATTGTTATTGAGCAGAACCCCTCATCAGCATGGAAGAATGTATTCTGGAATGGTGGTTGAAGCATGAAGGGACATATGAATCTTTACAGCATCTGGTACTTAAATATCTTGCGATGCTGGCTACAACAGTGCCATGCAAACGCCTGTTCTCACTTTCAAGTGACATTGTAAACAAGCGAGCAGCATTATCTCCTGCAAATGTAAACAAACTTCTTTGTCTGAGCAATTGGCTGAACAAAGAAGTAGGACTGATTGAACTTGTAGGCTCTAAAGTTTAACATTGTTTTATTTTTGAGTGCAGTTATTTTTTTGTACATAATTCTACATTTGTAAGTTCAACTTTCATGATAAGAGATTGCACTACAGTACTTGTATGAGGTGAACTAAAAATACTATTTTTTTCTTTTTTACAGTGCAAATATTTGTAATAAAAAATAAAGTGAGCAATGTACACTTTGTATTCTGTATTGTAATTGAAATCAGTATATTTGAAAATGTAGAAAACATCCAAAAAATTTAAATAAATGGTATTCTATTATTGTTTAACAGTGATTAATCATGATTAATTTTTTATAATCACTTGACAGCCCTAGTCAAAATCTATCCAATGGTTCTGATGATGTAAATCTTGAAAAAATATCTTAAAATGGTTTGTAGATGTTATCAGAATCCCCAAGTGGAATAATAGGTCTAACTTTTTTCTGTCAATATGCCTACACTGCCCCAAAAAAAAAAAGTGTGTTTGTTAGCTAACTCAGGTTAAAATAGCAGTGAAGGCACAGCAGCTTGGCTTTTTAATTTGGATTAGAAGCTTAAATTCAAACTCAGGCTCCCCTAGAGACTTGAACTTAAGCTATTAAAAAGTCATGTCTTCACTGCTGTTAGAACCCAAATTAATATTGCACTTTTTTTTTTTCAGAGTAGACATATCTTACATTTTTTGGGTACAGTGTCTAATGTGGGTGGAAATCAGTGATACCTCTAAAAATCACTAGAAGTGCTGAATCATGATAGAGTACTGATGCTTGTAAGTTGCAGGAGCTGTTATGTATAATTATGTAAACAATATACAATAACTGTCCTTTTTACAATTAAATTTTCATATTGCTGTCCAAAAAGGACTGAAAACTAAATTGTATTTGCTTTTATTTTAACTGGCATTATAAAATGTACTTTTAAAAAATTCTATACTTCTCTGCTATCAGACATTTGTATTCAGCAGGCTTCCGTGCTTAATATTGTGTATTATCTAGGTGTGTTAAACTGCTGTAGTGATCACTGAGCTTTAAATCAGTCATGTTTTATATGCTCTGCCAATGTGCATTTGGGGAAAATTATGATAAATGAATTTGGACAAAATAAAATGTTTAATTTTACACAGGTGCTATGAATAAACTGAACAGCAATGAAACATTAATCTAATTATTATGTTTGGGTTTTTTTATCCACAGCAAAGAAATTTCCCTGTGTAATCCATTCATATGACATATGGGGTGGTGCCAAAAATCTTGGAAATAAATTAATTGAGGTAACATTTCTCTGAGTACAGAATAACTATATATTTTGTAGCTACTTGTAATGGTATAATAAAATTGATCATAGTACATTCATAACACAATATTTGGCTTAATATCTCAGGGGATTGATAATAAGATATAGAGTCTTTAACAGGTTCAAATCCAGCCCAAGTCAGTAGTTATAGAACGCTGTCACTAATGGATATGTGTCAGCTCTGTGAAATATCTATGATGATCTCAGTTAATTTCTATGGGGCAGATCCTCAGTTGGTGTAACTTGTCATAGCTCTATTGACTTTAAGTACGACTGAAGTAATTGGAGCTATGGCAATTTACATCAACTTAGGATCTGCCTCTCATTGTCCATAGCAGAAAAAACACCATGATTGATCCTAAGTGGCCTCCATTTTCGCAGTCTCAGTATACAGGCAAAGAATGAATGGCTTGGAGATGAACTAATCTCTCATCATTAGAGGTGTTTTTTTCTACATTGGGCACATCAGTTGGGCAATGTGCGAAAGCTTATATTTTCAATATCTGTGCTGTGCTATTATTATGATAGTTTATATTATGGTATTGGCCAGAATTTGGAGGTGCTGTACAGAATACAGGAAGACACACACTCTCTGCCTACAGAAAGTGTTTACTATATATAATTTCAGTAGATAAGTAGAGGACACACACACAGGCACGCCATTTTGTTTTTAATAGTTATGCATGCCTTTATTTTTCAGGCTAGCAGACAGAAAGATTGTCGCCGTCTTTTACAGTGGTGTTCAGATATTGTCAATTATTTCTGGTTTTGCTGCAAGGAAGCAAATTCATATGAAAAATTTATTGTAAGTTGTAATTTAGAGTTAAGTTGTATTATTCCAATACAATATTTTACTGCAGTGAATTACATTTTATTATCATGGTTTCTTAACATTGTAGGGAATGTGGTGTGGCTTAGTTCATCATGTGGTCAATGAACATCAGTGGGCTAGTGGAAACGGCATCATTGAGGGACGGTGCAAACATGGTCCTCAAATGGATGAAAGAGAAAAGGAATGGCTAGAAAAGGGAAGCAAACCTCACACTGAAATGTGCAGAATAATTTTGGATAAAAAGTTTCTGAGAAACATCCCATACTTTCTACAGTTTAGGTATAACTAATTTGAATTGTGGATGTTAGGCTGTCTTTGTTTCCTCCAAGTTATTCTCTTCCCTTCCTACTAAAAATGAATATAGACTGTGTGCCAAAAAAGGTAGTTTTGCATATATACTAAATCATTCAAACTCTCATTTAGTAGTAATAAACCATGTAACACAGTTGAAGCTAAGTGAATTTTAATTGTAACAATTGTAATTTAAAAGGAAAAGTTACTTGCTAATAAAAAGTCTTTCTACACTTCATTAATATTTATGTGCTAGTTATATAGTGTGTTCCTGATAATGTTAAAGATGTTTCTGAAAAACAAATCATATTTATTTTTATAAAGATCCACATTTGATCTGGAACAGTTTCAGCAGCATGTGCATATGTATGCTCCCAAAAGATTTGAATACACCTATCCAGTGTACAGAGCAAGATGTTTTTTGGCGGCTATTGATTACAATATGCATTTGAACCGGCAAACCATGCACAATCAACAGAATCAGTTAATGTAAGTCTGTCACTGCACTAATCTATTGTTTCTTTTTTTAGTCAATAGTTGCAGTTAATTATCATTTGCTCTAAGAAATGAGCTTGTATTATTACCTACAGCATTACACACATACTATTGACCACATTTCTTGCTGAGTTCAGGGGAATTATGTCAGAAGAGAATTTGGCTTTTTCTTATGTTAATACAAAGTTCAGGATTCTACATAATTTGCATGAGAGAGAGAGAACACACAGCTAGAGATGATTCAGCACTTGGACAAGTATGCTCAAAAAGTGCATGGTTCAGCCACAGTCTCAGCCTGTAGTAGCTAGTATGAACCTATGATGCTCACTAAGAAGCTACAAAGAAGTAGTAAATGCAACCAGTTGCTTTTCCACGTTCCTCACATGGTGTCTTTGTCGGTCAATTTTATGCTGTGTTTGGATCCCCTGCTCACCTCAATCACTCCTTTACTCAATAATTGCTCAGCTGCAGCATAGAAAACCTTTATTACGTTTGACTCTGCAGAATGTCCTAAAGTTAGTCTCAGAAAAGTCACTGCACATAGGGCTCGCTGAGTATGTGAGCATGAATACGAGGAGAGGGGGAATGGAGTATATGTAAATATTCTGTCTTGTATCACTTAATGTCAATCTTTTCCTCAGTGTAAATTTGTGAAGCTCCATTGACTTCAATTGTAAACAGAAGGCTAGAGACTATTTACATTTTTTTAAGGCTTTTAGGGGCTGATCTTGTAGCCCTTTTACTACACAAATTTCCCCACAGAAGTTAGTGTGTGAGTAGAGTTTGCAGGACTGAGGCCTTTAATTTATACATACTGATGGATGAAACCATGTATTTCTATAATTATCTTGTATGTGATGTTTATTAAATTCAGCATTTTTTCTCCTAATAAAACATTTCCCCCCCTCTTTTTATTTTTATAATAGATACCGTAGAATTTACCATAGGAAATCTGGGAGATGGACCTTGGTACCCAAGAAAGAAAATAAGCATTATGTATATACTGATGACATAATGGAGGAGATATTTCAACGCTGTTTGGGGATGTAGCAAGAGGTCCTGAAGGCTAAACCTCTGAAACCAAATATTTCAAGACTGATTGCAAAATGAATTATACTAATTAGCCTTCTTTCACAATTAAAAAAAAAACTTCTTCAGGCTTATATTTATTGGAATTACCTATGGTAATGCTTGATTATTTAGGTTATATTTAGGATATAGTTATTTAACGTTTTATTCTTGGGGAGGGGAAAGTGAACTATTTGTATTGGTATTAATATGCATTTCTGGTGGGGTTGGTTAAATAGTCAAGTTATAATAACTTGCTAACGTTTTAATTGTGTGCCTGTGTGTATATACATACACACACACACACACACACACACACACACAATAACTTCT